CTTGTGACTATATTTTATTCTGCGTGTTAATCAACAATCACATGGGAATTCCGAGAGAGTTTATTTTAAAATGCTGTTGATGATATCATCCTTATGCAGATGACATCTAGACTTAATCCACTTGAATGGTGTATGTTTTAAATTGGTACCTGAATTTAGTAAGAATGTTTAATGTGTGGGGTGTGTGTCGGGTGAAATCCACTTACCTTCACTACCGGTTCGCAAATGTGAGTGCGCGCACCAACTCCATGCATGCGCAGAGCCTTCTGTGCATACGCAGGGGGTCAAAAACGGACATGATGACGTCCGGGCGGGTGGGCGGAGCCTCCCATTGCTGGTGCTACCAGTTCGCCCGAGCCAGATAGAACCGGCTACATTTCATCACTGGTGTGTGTGTGTGTGTGTGTGTGTGTGAGAGAGAGAGAGAGAGAGAGAGAGAGAGAAGTATTCGGTATGAGTAAAAATGCACAATCCCTATAGGATCAGATGTTTAGTCTGGGATACTCTCAAATACTACGTTACATAGCTGGTATTTGGAGCATCTTTTATTACTTAGCTGATGCACCACAGACAGCTAAACTTTATGCCATTATCCACACTGTGGTACTGGTGTCCCTTGGGGGCTCCTTTTGAAAATGCCCATGAAACATCAGCTAATCAAAAAGACACAAGATGAGTACTATTACTTTCCATAGTCTGCTTCTAGATACATAGTGAGATGAGGGGATGGGATATTTTATTTGGTTAGGCTTTTTTTTTTATCACTATACAATTAGGCATTTTGGTTTGGCCAAGATAATAGATATCAATCTGAATGAGTCGGAATAATTGTTAGTCTTATTTATGTTCTATTTTTAGATTGTCTATTTAAATATAGTTTGAGAATGTCAAAGCAACAGGAGCATTCTATAAGTGATTATCACTCTTGATTTTAAGGGAAACTTAAACAGAGGTAGAATGGCAGAAAGCGAAGACGAACTAAAGAGCCTCTTGATGGGGGTGAAGAAGGAGAGTGCAAAAATTGGCTTGAAACTCAACATTAAGAAAACTAAAATCATGGCATCCGGCCCTCTCAATTCCTGGCAAATAGATGAGGAAGGAATGGCGGTAGTGACAGATTTTATTTTCCTAGGCTCCAAGATCACCGCATATGGGGACTGCAGCCAAGAAATTAAAAGACGCTTGATCCTGGGGAGGAAAGCTATGGCAAAACTAGACAGCATTCTAAAAAGCAGAGACATCACCCTGCCAACAAAAGTGCGTATAGTCAAGGCTATGGTTTTCCTAGTTGCAATGTATGGCTGTGAAAGTTGGACCATAAGAAAGGCTGAGCGCCAAAGAATTGAGGCCTTTGAACTATGGTGCTGGCGAAGACTCCTGCGAGTCCCTTGAATTGCAAGGCGATCAAACCAGTCAGTCCTAGAGGAGATCAACTCTGACTGCTCCTTAGAAGGCCAGATCCTGAAGATAATACTCAAATACTTTAGCTACCTAGTGAGAATAAAGGACTCACTGGAGAAGAACCTAATGCTGGGAAAAATTGAGGGCAAAAGAAGGATGGGACGACAGAGAATGAGGTGGCTGGATGGAGTCACTGAAGCAGTAGGCATGAGCTTGAATGGACTCCAGGGGATGGTAGAGGACAGGAAGGCCATGGGGTCACAATGGGTCAGCCATGACTTCGCAACTAACAACAACAAAAATAGAGGTAAAACCTGTATTTTGTCTTCAGAAAAGCAGATCTTAATAAACCTAGATCAATAACTGATAAATAGAATTCCATGGGAAGAGAAGCTCGTAAGAAAAGTAGCTTAAGATGGATGGGAAGGAATGCTTTTGGTATTTCCAGATGATACAAAATTGGATTAGATAGCTTATGCCCAAGAAATGAACATTTGGTGAGTAGAGGAAAATTAAGGACCAATACTGTAACTGAACAGGTTTAGTTAAGATCTCAAAACAAAACAAAAAGATTCAGGGTCTTCTATTCTTCACTTCTTTCATTAAAGATTTAAACGATGAACTGAAGGGAATGATTATGAAGTTTGCAAATTATAAAAATGGGGTTGGATATTTGTATGCTTTAGAAGTAAAAAAGACTCAAAAGTGATCACAAGGTACTGGAGGAATGGATTGAAAAGAGAATAATGAAGTTTAACAAAGACAAGTGCAAAATTCTTTACCTAGGGGACAAAAATCAGATGTACAAAGAATAGGATCAGGGATCACCTGGCTCAGTAATAACACTTGCAAAAAAACAAAAATCCTTGGCTTAATCCTTGATTAGAAATTGTAAATGAGCCAGTAATATGATGTGGCTGTTTAAAGAAAGCAAATGAAATGGGCATCCACTCACAGGAAGTAACAATTCCATTCTGTTTTGCTTGGGTCAGGACTCCCACAATTTAAGTCCACACTTAAAGCGGAAATCACACTTTAAAAGGATTCTGAGAAATTGGAACCAGTTCAGAAAATGACAATGAAGATACTTAGAAGACTACATACTAAAACCTGCAGAGCGAAATTGGATGAACATGATATGTTAGCCTTGAGAAAAAATTGCTGAGAGGGAATAGAATAGCACCCTTGAAATACCTGAAAAGATGCCCCATAGGAGAAGGTCAGGACCCCTTCTGTCTTGTGCCAGAGAGCAGAACAGGAAATAACAGATTTTAATTATAGGACTGTAGATTCTTCTTCAACATTAGACAAAAACTTCCTAATGATAAGGGCAGTTTGACAGGGGAACCGGTCACCCAGACAAGTGGTGGGGTCTTCTTTGGATGTGTTCAAGAGGAAGCTAGAATACCTGGGATGCTTTGATATGGATTCTTGTATTTTTTTGTTGTTTGTTTTTACATAGTTTTATTAATTTATAATATGACATACAAAAAGAATACAAAAGCAAATATTAGGAAAATTAGGAAAGGAAGAAGAGAAGTGGATAGTGGGGGAAAGCAAGGGGGAAATGCCTCCCACCGGCCAGTACGCTCCCACAGAGAGGGACTCCTCAGGGTGCCGTTGGCCAGGCAATGTCGGCTGGCAACCCCCAGGGGGAGGGCCTTCTCTGTGGCAGCACCTGTCCTTTGGAACAACCTGCCCTCGGAGATACGTAGGATCCCAGATCTCCGTTCTTTTCACCGTGCCCTTAAAACTTTTTTATTTCATCAAGCTGGGCTGGCTTGATCCCCCCCCCAGATATTTTAAATTATTAATTGATTTTAGTTGGGGTGTTTTAAATTTTATATTGGGCCAAAACTTGTTTAATTCTTTTAAAATTAATCTTAAATTTTGTATGTGATGTTTTTATTCTTGGCTGCTCACTGCCCTGAGTCCAGTAGGAGAAGGGCGGTATAAAAATCTAATACAATAAATAAATAAATAAAAAGGCATTGTCTTCCGATTCCTTTGGTGCAGTAAAATAAGGCATTAAGATCTACCCTCAACTTTTTACTTTTTCATAATAATAGAAACTAGCCATTTCTATAACAACAAATCTATCTAATTGGTAAAACCCAAAATCAAAGTTTCATTTTTCTCCCACCTCAAGCACAAAGCCCAGAAGTGGTTTCCAAGTAGAAATGAAAGTATTTGTATTTTTTTTCTTTGATCAAAGCAGTCAATTTAGCCATCTTTGCTAACTCCATTAGTTTTAGCAGCCATTCATCCATTGTGGGAATCGAGGTGACCTTCCATTTCTGTACGTAGGATAGTCTTGCTGTCGCCAACATATATAACATCAGAGTTCTGATTCCGCCCTCCTCCCCAAGTCTTGTTCCATTAAACCCCAAAGTCTCCGGTTTTCTTTCTGTATTCCCTTTAAGAATTTTCTGTATTAAGATATGAATCCTACTCCAATATTTCTTTGCTTTATCACACATCCACCATAGATGATAAAAAGTTCCTTCTTTACATTTACATTTCCAACATTCGTTTGAGGTACTTTTATACATTCTTGACAACTTATTGGATTTGGATTCTTGTAGAATGTTGGGCTCAGAAATCTGTGACCCTCCCCAACTCTATGATTTTATCATATATTGTAGTTTACAAAACAAAGTACACCAGACAATATTGGCTTTTGCTTACTTGGAAATAAGGAACTTGCCTGGATTAATCCGTTGACCTAAAACCTGATTTGCTTAATTGTTGTTTCCTGGAAATCCCCCAATTTCCCCAAGCTGTCAAGCTGGAATAATACATCTTAATGACTGGTTTAGCACTAAGTATGAAACTTGTAACACTGTACAAAGTTATAGGACTATAGCTGTTGTTTGGCTCTGTTCTTTGGCTGGCATAACCAGGTCATCCCTATGACTACCTTGATTGGTGTTAACAATGCTTGTCAGCACATTTCTGTGCAACCCCCCCCCCTTAAAAAAATAATAATTGTGCAGCCCTTGGCACTCATGCAAAGGAACCCAAAGGGGCAATCCAAAAAGTCCTTTAGGAGCCAGAAGACTTGGACCTCCCTGGAATTTTCTCTTTTGGCTGGACTCAATAGTCTTCGAAGGGCAACAAAGGGCATTCTTTAGGACAGGAAAACTATCGCAGTCATGTATTAATTGATTATATGCCACGCTAAGGGACCACACAGATAGATTTTCTCCATGATGATCCATCCTGAACCTGGTCCTTCGTATCTTCCAAGAGTGCCCCTATACCACTGCAGCTGGGTCCATTCACCTGGCTACTGCTGACCTCACCTCCTTTTTCCTTCCAGCTGAAGACACAATTCCAGGACGTCAAATTCGACTGTCTCCCTTTATCCTTTTTTCTCTTTCACATCCCTCCCCCCAAATTGGCATGGATCAATTAGGGGGCCTGGGGGGGGGTCCCAGACCTCCTAACTGGTAAATAGACCGGAGGCCATAAGTGGAATTCCTTCAGCAGGAAGGACTTGAACTTTGGGGTCCAAGGAAGGAGAAAGTTGGCAGAAAGTGGGCAGAATTCCAGAAGGCTGCTGGCCGGAGGGTGGTTCTTGCGCTCCGAGCTAGGCTGCCCGCTTCCCCTTGCCCATCCGCCGCGGACAACTCAGAGGCGGGCAGCTGCCGGGAAGTCTTGGGCTTGGAGACAGAGCGCGCTTCCCTCCGGCCTTTTCCTTCTCGGCTCTCGGGCTCCGGCAGTCTCCGGCGCTAGAAGCTGGGTGGAGCCCTCGCGTGCAGAACTTCGGGGGAAATGCGCGGCGGAGGCGTCCAGCTGAAGAGCAAGGCGCGCTTGAGGGCGGGCGAGCGAGCCGGCTTCTGGAGCCTCCCCTAGGCAGCTGGACGCGCGGCCTCAGAAAGGCTGCGGGGCTCGGGACAAAAGCCCAGGGAGTTGGCAAGAACTTCTGGCGGGGCCGCTAGTGCTGCCCAGCCGGGCAAGTGAGGGGCTATGCAGCGCGCGGGAGCCCTTTTCGCCGGCCTGGGAATGTGGTGGTGGCTCAGCTGGGACCTCGTCGCCGTCTGCGAGGCTGCCAAGGGCCGCGTGCCTCGCCTCCGCCTCTCCTATAAAGGTAAAGGGAGACGCCTTTGCAGTTCCTTCTAAGCCTTTTCTGATTTTTTTTCCTTCTTTTTTTTTGCCATCGGTTGAGCCTCGGCGATAGGGACGCTGATGATGCCATTTCGCAGACGGGGAACTGAGGCTGAGCCAGCGAAACTGGAGGGATCCAGAGGCCGTGGACGGATGATATCCTCCACTTGCTTCCCAGTTCCACAATTACTTTCGCTTTTTTTTAATCTGCGTTTCTGCACGTGTGTTTGGGTGAATCCCTTTATAGTGTTAGCTCTATCATCTTTTGGGATCTTTTTAATCTAATCTTGGTTCTTTCACTTTTTTTGTGGTGCGTTGATTAAATCCGGAGGGCAGCGAGTGTGCGCACGAACGAGATAGTTTGCAGGGACTAGTAACGTTAGAGCAGTCAGGCGACTTCATTCTGCACTTGCTAGATTCATTACAAGTCCCGAAATCTCAAAGGGGGAATCTTTGGACTGAGATCCACATTCTTTAAAGAGGTAGGGATTACTAAAACCCTTCGAACTGATTTAAATTGTGACTCATTTTCTCCTGGGCGCGTTCATATCACGGTTAGGGGTAAGTGAAGAACAGCGAGATAGATAAGAAGGGGGGGAAAAAATCTAAGAATGGCAGACAGGAGATTTTGGCTTCAGCACTGTGCAGGTGTGTGGAGTATGTTCCAAATCAAGAGTGCAAAAGTTATGAATTTAAATTGTGTGTATGGGATGGTTTTTCCATGTGGGGGGAGTGTTGAATTGCATGCAATTGAGAGAGATCAGAATTTGCACTGTACATTTCTGCAAGGATGTTTCCTAGTAATAGACATACAATATAATCAACCCAGAAAAAAGCATGTCAAACAAGCATACAAATCAGTTAGCATTACCAACTGATCCAAAAGCAAAATCATCTGGCGGTGCCATGCCTTGATTCCCTTGACAGCAACTTGATGCATCAAAATCAACAAGTGTGCTTTATTTTATCAGCATGCAGGCAAGAAAACTAAGTACTTTACACATTAGATTTTTGTAAAAGTTGTCAGCCCTGGGGGTAAATACTGATAGATTTCATTTGTCTTTCCTGAAATTTTACCACTAGAGAGTGAGGGGGAAAAAACCAACCCTCTCTGGGAGTTTTGCTAATTTTCTTTCTGATTGGGTGATATAACAAGCACTCATAAAGTTTTCTTTCACATGGTCCGTGAACAATGCCTGTATTTATGCAGCCCCACCTAAGGACAGTTCATATTTAATAGGGTCTCTATGCATGATCTCAAGAACATACTAGTTATTGTAGCTTTGTGGCTGAGTGGCATTTGCCTGGAAAAAGCAGGTTTACAGGAATCACCAACCCAACAAAGTCTTTAGCCCCAGGATGTGCTTTTTGTCACAAATCGCGGAGCAACTTTCACTGAAGTTACCTACAGTTTCCAGTTTTATTTTCCTACTTGCTTTTCTCTCTTCACACATTATATTCTGCAATGTGTTGTGCTGTGATTTTATTGTTTTTTCTGATTTGCAGAGGAATTTTTATTGCTTTTCAATTGTCTAAAACAGTGGTTCTCAACCTTTCCTTCACCACGAAACCCCTTTAAGTACCTTTTGTGGCCATGGACTATGGCCATGGACCTCCAAGACTTAACTCAAGTTTCAAATCATAACATTTCTTCACACTTTTGTGGACCCCCTGTGATGACATCGCCCCTCCCCCCGCAGGGTCCGTAGACCACAGGTTGAGAACCACAGTTTTAATACATTCTCCCTTTATTTAAATTATAATTAAAAAAAGTAATTATTACTTGTACTACCACCAAGTTATATGATGCTTCTTCATGAAAGCTGTTGTCTGTTAGCAGACTGATGAGTCTATGCTCATGAGAGAATACTGAAGACAACTTGTGAGAAGGTAAACCAATAGCTCTGCTTTCACCAATAAATGATATTGTCTGTGAGAGGTCCTTGGTGCTCTTTGAGCTTGGATGTTTTGTTTTTTTTTGCAGACATTTGTTAGCACTGTTAGTTTGGTTAATGAAATGTCTGCAAGAAAACAACTAAGCTCAAAGAGCGCCAAGCATCCCTCATTTCAACCCTGAACTACAAATATTATCCTTTATTGGTATCATCTATAAAAAACCTACTTACTTTCTCAGAGGTCAGGTAGTCTTGCATGATCTGAACAACTCCAGGATTGAACTTGGGACCTTCTGTATATGACATTGCTGGGCTATCTTCCTCCCAGCCTTCTGTCTTGACCTGGATTCCCTGAAGAGAGTTGTAATAAGGATCATAAAACAAGGATCATAAAACAAGGATCATAAAACAGGTGGCCTTTTTCCAAGGCTGCATTTCTTTGGGCCAGAATGGAAGCAGAACGATGGTATCTGGAGATGTAGTGTGAGTGAGAACAAGGGGAAGAATACATCAGGTGTCTCTGATGTTTGTAAAGTTATCTGAACTCTCAGTGATGGATCAGATGGACTGGATTATTTGCATTTATCATTATAAATGAAGAGTCTGGGCCTAAATGTCAGAACAATTGAGAGTCAATCTGAGAGGTTAGGTGGAATTTGCATATTTAGAATGTCTACTGTGAAAATTTGTATATTGCTTTTCTGCAGGATAAAGAAACACTATTGGAATGTTGTATATTTAATCATTCACTTGCCAAGTCCTGAAATATTGTTTCTTGCCAAATGCTTAGAGCAGTTATACTGCCCAATCAGTAGGACAGTGATCAGTTGGCAGAACTTGCTGTCTCAATGGTCATGGACATTTTTTTGCTTCCTACCATTGGGGATGCTTTTTGATTTCCTAAATTCATTATTTGAGATGCCATCTACTTCTTAGGTTAGCTCTGAACCCCTTAATTTTTGATCTAAGGTTGGGCTTAGTTAGTCAAGAGGATAATCAGTGGATTGTTGCAGTTGTTCGCAATGGCTCTTCTAGAATAGCAAAATACCCTTCTTTTGTGAAGATATCCTTCAGAGTCAATGTGTTGTTCAAATATGAATACTAGAGAAAGCTGTCAGTGTCCAGTAAAGCCTCAGTTGTAATAATTTGGTAAAATGTTGTTCAAAGCATTGGAGGTGAGAGGTAATAATTATTATGTTAGTCCTTTTGTCTATATTGGACTTAAAGGCTGAATAGGGAGCTCTGGTGCTCTGTGACATTACAGAAGATTCCCACAATAAAGAGAAAAACTGAGGAATTTCGATGAACTGGAACACATGTCACTCGATGTAAGTATTATGTCTAATAAATTTGAACATTTCTTGGGTGATCCTGGTTTGATGCAATTTAGGGATGGGGTGGGATGTTCTGAAGGCTGAACAGACTGTTTTGAAGATCTGAGGGTTACAAAGGGAGTGGAACCACAACTTATATAAGCGTAGTTGTTTAAGCAGAATTGTTTGGATTGTTCCTTCTTTGTGATATGTTTAGTTTAGGATTTACAGTATGTTAGTTTTCTTCTGTTTTGCATCACAAAATGGAAATAAACTCTGTGTTCCATTTTGAACAGTGATGATCAGATTGCCACAAAAAGGGCACTTGAGGGCCGCACGAAGGGGATGTGGGGATTTTATAATCTTCGAAATTTATCCTTGTTGTGGAATATGAAGGTTGGTGGCAGTAAGAAATCCAAGAAGCCACCCACTAGTGACCACAACCTTGCATTGTAGTGAAAATAAGTTGCTCTTTTGATGGTTTGTTCCCACAGAAGCCAGTAGTAAAATTCACATGTGCATCTCAGAGGAATAGTTATTGGCACTTCTACCCTTATGAGTCATTTTAAGGTTGACACACACAGTGTACTGAGGTATTGCTGAAGTAGCTGCATCTGCATCTATTTAGACAAATAGTTCACTTTCCAAACAAAAGTTCTCTTCTTTTCTCTAAGATGCTGCTCCATGCAAAAAGAAACATCATGGCCAGCAAACAAAGATAGTGTAACCTCAAATAGGCTAAAGGAAATAGGGAAAATCTGCTTTTAGGAGCAACTGTGGGAGGGCAGGAAATGTAAAACAGAAGAGTTGGGTTGGTGCTGGCTTAGACTGAATAGCTATGGAGATCTTTTTCCCAAAGACAGACCTGGTCCTTCTGGCTAAGATCCATTCTGATGAGATGTTGTAGGCTATGATCTGGGAATCTTGAATCTGAGAAGGGGTATATTTATATGAGGGTCTAAGTGGAATTATTCTAGGAGGAACGCCGTAGGCTATCCATGTGCCTCATCTGAGAAGGGGGGAAAATGTTAGAGCTGCCTTAAAATAATAATGCAACCAGCCACTTGTCACTGTCAATATGTAGTATTTTAGGTTTTTGGAAACTTATACTGGGTAACACAGTTCTGCAATCAGAGAACTATATAAATCCAAACATATGGATATAGCCAGAAAATGTGTTTGAGAAAGGCTCTTTGTTCTGCACTTTTGGGAAAAAAAAATCTTATAAAGAACTTTTCTCCCAGTTATTTATAGATTGCATTCCCAAGACATGGTAAACTAGGAGAGTGTTTTATCAGAATTCTAGTTACTTTACTCAGGAGGAAAGCTATTTACCCTCTTCCTACTTATAGTTGGTTACTGCATATGGCCACTGCAAATGGCTCATAGGCTCTCCAAGAGAGAGAATTAATTTTGAGAATCAGAGTAAAATAGGGACAGAAGGTTTTATTTCATCGAACACACCTCACCCAGAGTGATCTCAACCACAGTCAATTCTCTTATTTTTATTTAATCATATAAGGAGAAAAAGCTTACATGGTTCCTATCTCAAAAAGATGTCTAGAATGCTATCTAGTATATTTAGGTTAGTCAATGGTTCCTTTACTTCTCTGGTACAAATCACTTAGGTATATGTCCAGCTTTGTGTTAAACTTGGTGAGGCTTTAAGTACCCATATGAATAGTGACAGAAACAATAACCAGAGTTATTACTGAACGCAAAACCAGAACTTTTTTCAGTGATAATCAAGGTACTTGGAACAGACTCTAAAAATG